CAAGGCATAATATGTGTTACCAAGATTTGCAAACCCACTCACATGAGCTCTAAGGAGAAAGTGCTGCTTTCCTCAGGTGACACAAACCAGACCTTGGGATATTACTTATTTCTCATCCATCCCTCCCTTTCCCCAAAAGCTGTAACTACTAAACCTTAGCACCCCCTTGCAAGGACAGAAACCCCTTGCAATCACAGCCCCCTAACATGTTTCTTGATCTACATCAGCGTTTATATACTGCAGGAAAAACTTTTCCAACCAAACACACATTTCTAATTAACCAGCAGTCAAATCTCTATGTTTTTAATTTGAATTTAGATCATTAATACCACATTACTTTAAAAAAAAACCCAAACAAACCTGAAAACCACAGACACAGGGTAGTCTGGCCAATACAGAGATCCAAAAAGAGAGCGACTGTGCACGTGTTTAATAGAGAAAAACATCTTCTGCCTAGCAACAAGTCAGCTCTCCTGGCTGTCCAGGAGAAGGAATTCAGTGCTATAAATGTCAGCAAGCAAATTAAACCACCATGCCCAAGATACAAAGGCCTAGTCACTGGGCAATAAAAATTAAAGGTGAAATAGTTATAGAAGAAATATTCAAAAAAAGAGGCATCTATTAGCTTGCTTCCCTCTGTGTCTTTAAATAAAAGTTACAGATTGCTCCCAGCTAGATGGGTTCTGTGCTTGCACTTATTTATAAGTTGATTTCTTGCCCATTTTATATACAGGATGAGAGAGAGGACACTAAAAGCAATTTACCATTTTGATGTTATTGAAAAAAGGACTCAGTGTGGTACTAAAGCATATGATGGTCCTGAAATTCAAGGTCAGATAGGGAACAGGTTGTCTGGGGATGATGGCTATCAAAACAAAGTGCTGCCAGCAGGAGGGCTTTTTTTCTTTTTATCCTTTCTTTTCATTAGAATGAGGTCAACATTTTATGAATTCTGACAAAATCTCTCCGCTCCTCTAACTAGTTGAGATTTTTCAAATAGTTCCATTATTCTTAACATACTGAGCAATTTATTGTGAGGTATGAACTGAGACTAGGAGCCTCCTCATCCTGGAGCCTCAGTAAATGCATGGCCTCACAGGAGTTACTAGCCACATTAGGCAGCCAAAGAAGATGAAAGGAAGGACCCTCAGCTCCATCTTGCAGATGAACCCCAGTGTGGGGAGACAGAGAGACTTGCTCTGTATTCACAGAGGAGACCTTCCCACTGCTGCCTCAGTACTGAAATCAAATTGTCCCTCCTCTCTGGTTCCAAACCTCAAGCCCACAGTGACCTACATGAAATGGGCTGGCCAGTTCCAGGAGATGGAAGAGTACATGGTGATGTGTTGTCCTCCACAAACTCCCAATCTCCCTGAAACTGGAATAAGCATTTTTACTAACTCAGAAATCAAAAGGATTCACTCCTCCCTTGTTCCCAGTATTTATTTTCTCCTTCTCTGACACCTTCCAAGTTCAGTGCCTACAGAGAAGGAGCATGAACAAGGGACACCAACCAAGTGCCAATGCTGGGATGGGAGCAATCTCACCTGGAAAACTGAGCATTCCAGGGAGCAGCAGCCACTCAACTTCCCTGCCACATGTTGGCTGCACAGCAGGTGATAAATACAAGGATTTTACATGGCTGTCCAGGCACCCCAGTAGCTGAAACACTTGTGTTCATGCAGAAGGGCCCATGGCCAAACTCCTTCTGCTAATTCATCTCAGCATCAGCCAGGAAAAGAGCTTTCTGTGCCCTGTCTCCCTGCGTTATTTGCTGAATAAAATTCTTCCTCATTAACAGGCCAAAGCCCAAGAAACAGCCACTGGAACAAACAAGGGTCTGTGCAGATCTAATCCCCACCTCACTGCCGGGGAATTAAAGCAAAGAATGAGGCTGCAGCCATTCCCTTCCAGCACCATGAATGCTTAAGCAGGTTATGGCTTTGCACTGCAGACGTTTCTGGGGAGAAGAAATAATGACTTCTTTACCAGCCCCACTCATGGCTACACTCTCAGGGAAACAAGCATGAGGATTATTTCTTGACGTAAGAGTTAAGAATGATTGCTGCATGTCAGTATTTTTGAAGTGTTAATCTCCAGGATTGCTGAACCTGCCAGTACTTCTCCAGCCTGTTATTCTGCCTTCAGTGCTGCTTGTGTTGTGCAGGAGAAGGCACCTGCCTGACTTGAGAGATGCCAGCTAACAGGACAATCTTCTCCCTGTTGCCACAGCAAAAATTCATAGAGGTGCCCAAGAAAGAAAGGTCCTAACTTTCCACACAGAAAAGCCTGCCCTTTGGAGACTTACATCGAGTTTGTTAAGCACCAGAAGAACAGAAGTTACCTGGACAGGCAGAAACAGTCACTTCTTGCTGCTGGACCTGCTACCTAAACTGCTCACCAAAGGTGAGAATTCACCCTGTAATTCTTGAGCTTAACCTGGTCCTTGGCTAGTCAGGCCAGGGAGCAGCTCATGGACATGATGCTGCTTTGCAAGAAGGAGGGATGCTGCAATTCTTGGAGATCTTGATCCTGTTCAAGTCTATGGGCTGATTACAGACTATAGAAAGGCCAAGAGAGATTCCTCCCTGAGGTATTTGTAGCCAGATTGTGAGGGAACACAAGGAGCAAAGCTGAGTCCTTTCACTGTTACAAAGCACTCAAGATGGTAGATCCTGAATTCCTCCAGACTGTGAAAAACTTGCAGCTTATATAAACAAGGAACGTGGAGGGAGTAACTCTAGAGACTGTGGTCAGGACTAACCCTGAGAGGAAGTTTTGGGTGGTGTGGTGGCAATCCAGAAAGAGCATGGGCTGGGCACAAACCCAAAGGGCACAGGGTTGTGTTAGAAGAGTTCACAGGGTGCACAGTGTGCAAGTCTTGCCATCAGATCATCACTTCCCAGCAAAGAGCAATGAAAAGATGATGAAGCTGCCAGCTCTGTGACACTACTACCCATGCTGATCATGTCATACACTGTCAAAACCAGAGCCCAACAGAAGCTACATGGATGCTGTAACTCTCAGCAGTGAATTCACGTGCCTGTGAGAGCCAAGGTAACAAAGTGCAAAGGGCCAAGCAGACAGGACTGCTGCTCTGAAGGGCAGCAGCTCTGCCTGGCTTCCAGAGATAACCCAGGGCACTGGTGGGACATGCAGCTCCTGGGATTTGCTGCCAGCACAACCAGTGGCACAGACAGTGCAACACAATTCCTCACTACTGATGAGCAAAACCACTGTTCAAGCTTACCTTTGTTCCCAGCTGGAATAATTTTCAGAGTGATGAATAGAGCGTGACTGCCAGAGACTGTATGGGGATGGTTGCAATCCAAACCCACCACCAGGGATTGAATTCTGGAATCTGCCTTGTGTCAGCTGGGCAGAGAAATGAGTGACCTGGCTCTCACAGACACAGGTGGGATGCTGGAGATGACCATGCCCCCAGTGTGGCACATCTGCAGGGACACCCCGGCACAGGGACAGACTCCTCCTGAAAATGGGAATCTCTGTGCTTCCTGCTCAGTCACAGGCTGTAGCCCTTGGAACAAAAACTTTCCTCCTCTTTTGGTGTCTTCTCTCTTAAGAGGAAGCCCTCATAGGGAGGCTTGGAATCCTACTATTAGGGTAAAACCAAATTTGAATCTATTTCCCCTGCTACCACCAGTGATAAAAAGAGCTGATACTACTGATAGTAGTATTAAAAGTTTTGTGCATTTGCTCCCTGAAAAAATGCAACAAGGGACATTCTGGCAGCAGAATTGTGTGTCACCTCCTCTTTTGGGAGCAAAAGCAGAACATGTGACAAATACTTTCAATCAAACCCCACAACTCCCAAATTACAAGCAGCAATAGCAGGAAAGATCCATTCCCCTATTCTCAACCTAATGATTATTTTATGAAAATGTTTAGTCACCATTGTAGTGTTCTAAAATCTAATAATTTATTCTATTCTATGTTTATGAGTATTTCTGGGACTGAAAGGGGAATAATTCAGCAATGCTGCTGATTATAAAACTTGGACTCTGTTCTAAATAAAGATGGTACAGTTACTAATTTTCTCCTGAGGGTTTGGGTATTACAATCCACTGAATATCAGTGTGTCACAATAGCTACTCAACAGTTAATTCCTATTCAGGAAAGAAATCCTCCTTTTTAATGTTTTAATGAATTTTCTCCAAACTGGTAAAATGTGTAGACTTTTAATTCTGACCACAGAAAACAGGGACTGAACAAAAATAATAATAGCTGCACAACACTTCCTCATTCCACCACCTCAATAACACTGCTACAAACAAAACCTCCCCACATGATAAATGTTCTTACAAACTATTTCCATCCACAAAGCCAAAGCCTTCTCTCCATCAGCACTCGCCCAACACCAAGTGGCTGCAGCTCCCCAGGACATGCCAACCACCTCCTGACACCCAGCCAGCTCCACCTCTGACATGGGCTGAGAAAGAGCTTCAGCCACCATGGGCAAAGATGGCACATTTATTAGAGAGAGCTGGGTGTAAGAAAAGGGGAAAAAAATCACAGCTTCCAGTGAGGAGCCAAAGGAACTGATTTGCAGCTGTGACAGTTGTGGGGAGGATATGAACTACTCATCTTCAAGGGCTCCTTTTAAAGAGAGAGGCTGGATGAAGAAGCTGGAGGTGCAAGATGTGCTGTGCTTGTGGAGGTCTGGGGACAGAGTCTGGCCCTTTTTAAGGCAATGATATACAGATGGTTTTGCTTTTTCAAATATGACTATACTGTTCTTCAACACTTGTATGTGCTCTCCTCACAACATTAAAATATATTCATATTGCCTGTGTGAAGCACCTCATACAGCACAGCAGAGACACTGTGTTGAAGTGATCAAAGCACCTTTCACAGCTGTACCACTAGCACTGACACACAGACCTGTTTTACAAATGCTCTGGTTTACAATCTCAGGGAGAGATGATGTTTTCCTCCTCCAACCCCAGGCTGGATACTGACATGCACACACTGACACCTACCTAGGAAGCCCTCTTCATCCACGATGATGGTGTAGTCCTCTGGGGTTTCTGTGAGGCTGAAGAACTTGCACCTGGAAAAGGCAAACAGCATGAGAACATTATCAGCTGCTGGACTGAGCAGAGCCTGAACTCCCACCTAAAACAAGGCTCCTTTCCCACCCAAGCTGTGCCAGAGGAAAGAGCCACAGTCTGGTGTGTATGGAGAGGCCTCAGGCATTAACAGACCTGGATTTTATTCCTGGCTCAGCTACTCAACTGTGTGACCCACATTCCCTGCTGCCTGCCTATGCACAACGGAGCTGGTAAAACACTCATTATTTTTATGACTTAGCTCTTAGTTACTTTTCTTAATTACCATATCCCTTAAGGCTTCCTGTCACAGCCCAGGACCTGCTGTATTGCACTAACAGAGAGCAAAAGGCTTTGCTCACTGACTGATTGCTCCAGGGCCCTCCAAAAGCCTTCCCATGGTTCACACATGCACCTCTCTTACGTATTTACCCACTGAACTTTCTTGCCTTGTCAAGGTTTGACATAAAATATCTCAACCAAACCCCAGTATGTCTTCTTACTGCTTCAGAGGCTTCTCCCACCAGCAGACAGCATCCCAATTCCCTTGGCTGGTCCTGGCCCCTTCCCTGGGGAGCTCCAGGTGAAGAGACAAGTGGCAACAGCCATTGAGCAGGTGAACACAAGGTTGAGCTTCCCCTTCTCCCACTCTGCTGTTGCCTCTGTTCTGCTCATCTTGTGACACCACAGGCCTCCCCATCCCATTCAGCACTGAGCACAGTATCACCCCTAACACCAGATACAAACCAAATCTGACACACGATTATTCCATTGTAGACACACAAACAAAAAAAGCCTCAGCCTTACTGTTTAACACCACATATAGTTGGTTGTTTTTTTTCCCTGACACACCAACATATGTACAACAACATGTACTAAAAAAAAACCCCACTTTCTTCAGCTTCTATATCCAGTGGCCACCCAGCAACAGCTGGAAGGTTTGCAGAACACTTTGCAAGCTCAAGTACTTGCTGAGCTTCAGAGCAGTGCTGGCTGGCACCCCTGACCCACCCAGGGCTCCTGGCCCTTCCAGAAACATCCCAAAGCACACAGGCTTTGTTTGCCACCAAAGCCACAAGAGAAGAGTTTTCCTCTGGGAAGCTAAATTGGGTGCAAGAGGAAAAGCCTCTTGTCTATGAAGACCAAAGAGCAGGAGTTTGGAGTTACACTGTAATACCACCAGAAAATATTTTAAATACTGGAAAAAGATTGGTTTTAAGGCCACCAAACTTCACAGTGTGTTCACACCATAACTCCTGCATGGAGCACAGTTCAGAAAACTCAGCAATCAGGGATTTTGAGGGCTTCTCATCAGTGCTGAGCACCTGTTTCTCAAAGTCTTCCAGACTTCTGAAAGCCAGAACCCCACTAGTGTCTCAAAGTATAAAAAAATGGAAGCATTCACTTGAGAGAATCAGACTAAAAACTGTCTTGAGCATTCCTTTGACTGGCTGCAAAGAACAAAGATGGGAGCTACCTCCTTCAAGCACAAGGGAAAAAGGAGATGGCTGCTGCCTTCACCTCATCAGGAAAACCAGATGAAACAAGATGCAGCTCTACTAGTGATCTGCCATGCCAGCAGGACTGCATGTAAATGGAAAGTATCAGACAACCTGCCTTGAGAGACTTGTCCTCTTTTCCTAGAGGCACCTGTCACCACAACCAGGCATGACACTCTCCCTCCTAGCACAGATGTATCACTATAAAATACAGAAGTGACCTCACCACAACAGAAACCACAACTTAATTATTTTGTGTCACTGGTAATAGCTACTGTGTGACAGTCACATTTACTAACTCAACTCTCTCCAGGAATAGGGCCAAGAGAAGCAGAAAACAGAAGCAGCCTGAATTGGTTTACTCTCACTTCTTAACTGCACAAGGATGCTACCTGGGCAATGGGTGACCCAGGCTGGGTAAAAAGGTCTTCTGGGTTGCTGCTCCAGGTGGCTCCCAGAAGGTTTAAGTATTTATTTATTACTTAGTGGATAAAGTCCCTGAAGAAGTCACTAAAATAAAATTCTTTGCTACTACCACCTGACCAAGCCACATGCCTGCTGACTAGGGAGAAGCTAGTAGTCTTAAAGAAGGAAACATTAATATTAAAACAGAAAGAAATCTTTCCTGATCTGCCATGGCATTTATGGAGAAATTTTGTTCCAGAACAGTAATACTCATCTGTGTGCACACATTGACCCCAGCAGTAAAAGCATGATTATGACAGATGCCATTTTCTTAGCACACACTCAGAGGTGATGATATTTCAGGGATATGTACAAATGAAATCCCATAATTGCTGGCTCAGAATACATGTCAAAATCTCACATCTCCATATAGCAGCTCAAAGCCCAATCCCCACCTCACTCCAATGCTGTGAAAGGTCAGCAGCACAGAGCCATCTGAATTTAAAAGCATAGTCTTTTCCCCAGCACAGAAAAGACCAGGTTTTGTTGTTCACATTCCCTTTGTTCAAGCCAATGATGCATTTTTCCCAGGGAAAAGCTAAAAATGAAAAATGGGAACTGCAAACACTGTGTGATAAAAAATGGCATGGAAAATTTTCTTACCACCACAAGCTGTCAAAACTCAAGTCCTCACCCTAAAACCTGTGCCTCAGCATAGACACAAAAAGATCTACTTCCACTGTGAGTGCAACTCAAAAATTGTGTCTTGAATCATCAATGATAGAAGGAACTCAATGTCATATTTCTCTCCTGCACTATATGACACATACCTTTTCCAGTCAAGTTATTCCAATCATTTCTCTTTCCTTTCCCACCAGTTCTCAATAAGCTGAATGACAACAGCATCTTCTATTATCACATCAAAGCCAAGAAAGGAAAAGAACTGTCCTTTAATCATGTTCAGACATCAGGCAAACAGCATTTCTCTGAGTACGTGTGGAAAGCAGGTGTGTAAGAAGACAATATTTTTAGTTTCCTAATAGCCAAACCTCAGATAGATTCTTCTGGATTTCTGCCTTCTTTGTGTTTCAGCACATTGCCACTTCAGCACTGTTGCTGACTTCAACTGCCTGACAACATATGTCTTCTTCTGGCAAGGCAGCAAATGTAGACCAAGCTATCATTGGATTAGATCACTGAAACTGCAAAGCTTACACTGTGTATGGAAGTACCAGCCGAGCTTGCACAGAGCAGGAAAGTATGTGTAGGATGCAGCAACAGCATCATTTCAGTTTGCAAACAGCACTCAAGGCTCCACGGGAGAAGAAAGCAGGGAGTAGAGCACAGGGGTTGGCCTCACTTGCAGGTCCACACTAGAAGTGTCTCCTTGAGGCACCTGGTCCCCAGGCCTGCACAGATCACAAGGGTAAGGATACTGGGATCAATGTGACTCCCACTGGCTCTGGGTCACACACAGAGCACACGTGTGTGGGACTGCTGCTATGGGTCAAGTTCAGCACAGATTATGGTCTTTAAGGAAGCCACAAGTCCCATCTTCTAATTTATAAGGAAACTACTCAGTTAATTGTTTCTTAGGCAGGGTAAAGTGTTGCAAAGCTGTTTCTTCGATGGAAAAGGTCCTCCTCAGAAGCAGGTGGGCAGCTGGCCTCCCTACATTTCAGAAACCTCAGGCAAATGCCTTCCAAAAGCAACATAATGCCCAAAAGGCATTCAAGTGCAAAGTCTGGAGGTAACTGACCCACAAATCTGCAAAGAAGCAGTTGAACTGAATGGGCATTAGGAAGCAGCAGCAGAAAGTTGATCTGAGTGAATATGGAAAACATAATTTGTTGGGTTTTATTCCAGGCTGTCTTCTCATTTTAGATGAGAAGGGGTTGGTATGCTTCCCTCTGTATATTACCATAAGAATATACATTCTTAGCACAGAAAGACAGTCTCATGCTAATCATCTAATTCTTGGTGATCTTAACTCCTTGCAGTTTAAAAATAATGGCAAGAGGTGGATTCTAGTATGACATATTGTGAAATGTATTTAGGAAAGCGGTAAAGAACAGTCGTGCTGTTAATGCGTTTTGACATATTTGTGTAACATGTTAAGTAGTTTACACCATCTAATTACAAGACTATATAGTCAAATGGCACTGAGAATTGCAAACACTGAAATGGTTGGTGTTTTCTAAACAGCATATTTGTTTGTTAGCCAAAACACTGCCATCTCTTTGGTGAGATTGTTAAAACACAGCTTAGCTGAACTCCAAAAAAAAACACAAAGCCCCTCACAATAGGTGTTAGCTGACCTTCCACTCAGACCAGAAAGTGGTGGGCCTACCTCTCAAGTCTGCAGCCTGGCATTAGAAGGCTGCTACCCTGCTAAAAGAAGCATTATTGTTCACATGAGCTGTTTAAACAAGCACTACCACCCCCACCAAGGGAAACACTAAAGATGTCACAAGCAGTGTTAGAAACGGTCAAAGGACAGTGGCAACATTCCTTCCAGCCATTAGTTGTGCTTGGATCTGGGATGGAGACATTAGAAATCCAATCAGGGACAGCCTAAAGAGTCACTGTGATAGCACTGTTTGGTTCATTTTAAAAAAAAAGTTAATCATTTGCAAAACCAGCACAGAGCAAAACTAACAGATTTGTGGCCAAGCAAAGCAAGTGCTCAGGAACAAACATAAATGCAGGGAAGTCCCACAGCCTGTGCTGTGCCAAAACTTCCAACACGATAACCATGATGGCATTGTCTAATCCATAATCATAATAATGACAGTTTAAGATACAGATTACGTTGTGTAAAGTTAAAAGGGGGGACCTCCAGTCAACCCCTGTCCTTGCTACTTTTGTGTAGATGGGGAAGTTATCTAAGCCTTTATTTAGACTTTGAGACAACTGGGAGCAGAATAACAGAAAAGTGATGAGCACCCTGAGGGAACAGAAACCAAGAGAAAACACAAAAGGGATGAACTGCCATCCAGAAAATCAGTCAATCAATGTGGATGTGCTGAAGAAGATACTGACCTTCACTGTAGCTTACTGATAAAGCCTGGACACATAGCAAAAATAAACAAGAATTA